ATAGAGCGCAGGCGCTTACATTGCGATTACTTCAAACAGAAACGTACCCTAACCCTGCCTTTCTTCACAAGCTTTATCCTGATGTTTATTTAACCAACTCGTGTACAAAATGTGGCGGTTTAGCCACCTTACACCACATGCTCTGGGAGTGCCCTTCGGTACGTGGCACCGATACAGCATCGTCCAGAAAGTGGGACTCCGCTCTCCGGAGTCCAGACATAACATCGCAACTTTGGGCTGTCCAGAGGGCCCACGATGCGGCGCTAGGGCTCGGCCTTACTGTCCCATCGTGGGAGCGGCCCGCCGTGTGCTAGGGCGCACGCCTTCGGACTTGTCAATAAAGTTTTTTCCAAACCAAACCAAACCAACACCAAGTAGTACATGACAACACTTTTATAACATCATGGCTTTTAAACATTTCGTTTTTAAATACTTGATGTAAGGTACGAAGGTAAACTTGTTGTCCAAGTTTAAGCCTACGAATTTATGCTCCGCATTGACAGACAGACGTTGACCGTTCAGTTCAATGTCAGGTTCTGAGTGCATGCCTCTCTTTCGAGAGAACAAGACACAAATGCTTTTTTCTGGGTTCAGCCGAATTTCATTTTCCTCTGCCCATTTAGAGACTTGTTCAAACCTAACTGAACCTGCCACTCACACATTGCTAGGTTGCATGACTTAAAGCCAAGCTGGACGTCATGGACATATGTGGAATAGAACATGTTGGGGGGATGGACAGGTGCAAGGAATTCATTTTGATAATAAAAAGCGTACAACTAAGCACACGACCTTGCGGTACTCCCGTTTCTTGCACAAATGTTTGGGAGAGTACTGCCCACACGGACACGAAATTTCCGATTGTACAAGTAACTCTCGATTATGGAAAGCATTCTACCGCGCACACCAAGGTGAGACAAGTCTCTTAATATGCCAAAACGCCATGTTGTGTCGTAAGCCTTCTCGATATCGAGAAACACTGAGAGGAAATATTGTTTGTGGACGAAAGCGTCTCGGATTTGTGCCTCGATACGCACCAGATGGTCGGTGGTAAATCTACCCTCTCGAAACATACACTGGATTGGTCGAGCAGATTGTGTGTTTCAAGGAAATGTAAAAAATGGCGGTTTATAATTTTTTCAAAAAATTACAAAGGCAGCTGGTTAGTGCGATGGGCCTATAACTTGAAACTGAGGAAGGGTCCTTGCCCTGTTTCAATATAGGGATAACAATAGCCTCTTTCCAGGAAGCAGGGACGGTGCCAGAAAGCCAGATAGCATTGTATAGGGAGGCTCCCGTTTTCAAGTAGCCATATATGTTGGAGCTACGAGCCTCGTTCTAAAAAACCTTTGTTGCCTTTCGCCTCGGCATATAGCAAGCTGGTCAAGCACAGCGTTGTCCGTGCTTGTTTGCACAATGCACTCACGATGTCATGCATCATTCAATTAAGGAAGTTTCAGAGGGCAGATAGCCCATACGAGGGCCGCTGGGTATCCTAGCACTTGCTGGTATTCGTATTCAGAAAAACTGCGAAAAGACTCGAAAGTCAGAGCCAGGTGCACGTTCTCAGGCAGCAGGAGTAAGAAGGTGGCTGTGATCTCATACTTTGCACTGAAAATATCACCCAATTTAAAGACTATTGGTCAGAGGGGCGGGGATCTCAGTGGTATTTTCTGCCAAATAAGTTGCTCGCAGTTATGTGCAAGAACTAATCCTGTAAGAAGACCCTTTTAAAGAGAGTAAAATTAAGCACCCGAATAAGTTTGTTCAATGTGTGAAGAAGGCGGCAGTATATGAAGTACCCTGCACCTGCAGTCTTAAGCTACGCCGGACAGTCAGGCAGATACCTCAATGTGCAATTACCTGAACATAACCAGCAAGTAAAAAAGGAATCTGATGGTTTCCTGGCGACTCATTGCACAGAATGCAAGTGCAAGCCTGTGTTTCATAAAACAACTGTGCTGGCTAATTACTCTAACGCCGTGTAATTAGGACTCATCATTGAGGCGGCGGCGATAGCAAGTCGAAGCTGCATTAGCAAGCCATTTGTCCTACGAACAAAAAAGAACTATGTTACTTGAACTCAACGGCACAAGATTTTTCTTTGTAAATTCACTGCTGCTTAGTTTTTTTCTATATCTTTGTGCATTGATTGATTTCATTGTGCTGTAATGCGACAGGCATATATTCTTGCTGCTTTGCAATCAAATTTTAGTTGGAAGTTAGCGCTTGTCCTAGTTGTTTCCTTAAACCATTGTTACTCTTTTGGGCTTCAGCTGTTTTAGTCAAGAATACCAACAAGCCCGCTCCCGCCTCTTGCTTCACTTTGGCCGGATATATATCTGCCAAAGGCTTGGTCAAAGCTTTCGCCAGCTGGACATTTCTATTACGTTTGGCGCAAGGCCAGCAGCCTATACTGTTGTTAAACCACGACGCCTGTACAACTTCAGCTTTCATCGCGTCAAAGAAGTCGACGACCGCAAATGACGTCTACAAATAAACATAGTGGTCAAACAATTTTACGAGTCACTGATACAATGCTTTACTGATTAGTCTATATTTGCGTATAGTGATTATTCTCTGATTAAAACCACATTCTTTTATACTTTCATGGAAGAGGTCACGCCTAACCCTCGCAAGTGGAAAGTGCGCAGGGAAAACCGGCCTGCGATACAACCAAATTGTTTTTTTGATTAGTTGACACAAGCGTGCTTTTTTCACCCATAATCACCTAGATCAAAGGGCGAGACCATGAGGTTATTATGATCAAATAAAGGAACGATAAAAGCAGGAGGGCCCTTTGTAGACATGCGCTGGGATGAATCACGAACACATTACAGTGACAACCCGAGACTGCGTGCCCTATGGTGGATTCGTTTTTCCGGGTGAAAATCTCGAAGTTGAAAAGGGAAGAGTACCAACCTTTTACAGCTTCAGCAGCAGGGTAAACCCAATGACGATATTTAAGCACGCCACGCACAATGTAGTACCTCACGTTGCGCAACCCACTAGCGCACAATGTTGACTGGAGCTTGTCTCGGCTGCGTTCAGCTTGCAGCGAGCCAACGGCAAGTCGTTGTGGCAGCGCAAAAAAAAAAAAAAAAAGCTGTTTACACGTGGTTTACAAGAAAACCTTTACACTTTGAACAGTGCTTTCACAGCGTAATTCGTGTTGAAAAAACAGTTACGTTTTCGCAAGTTAGTTATTTTAAATTGAACTGTGTAGCAATTTGTATGATTTAGCCATTACCCAAAGAAGCGTATTAGGCGGATGTGGCTAGAGGCGGCTAGAAGCTTAGACGATGCAATAAACAATATGGCTAATGTGCGGGTGGCACGGGCCGCGAGGCCATAGAGTTGTGAGCGCGATAATGTGAAGTAATCCCTCGTACTTATTTGAAAGAGGGCGTGGGATTTACTTTGGTATTAATCGAGCCCCGAACGAGCCATCACGTTGTGCGAGTGGCCCAAGCGAGTTCAGCTCAGTGCAGCAGAATTGTTTTTTCTGACTTTCTACTCGAGATATCAGCGACCTGGTGGAGGCTGCGAGTGACTTCCTACAACGATGAAGTTTTAAAGCATATTCTGGTTGTGGTGTAACACGTAAAAATTGTTGTTGAAATCAGTCTCTTTTTGAAATTGTTTTTAGGGATGCATACATACAATCACAATGTTCATTAAGCTGATAATCTGAAATTTGATTACACAACTTGCATGCAATCCTACAATGTTGCAGTGGCTGAAGTGTGGGTGAATACAAAAGCATGCATGCACATGCAAACTAGTCTGTGCAAAAATCAGGTTGTTTTCACAAAAATGTAACCTATTTAAAAAAGCATCTGATTGCTCTATGTACATAAACAGAAAAAGCTACACATTACTGTTATCATTATAATAAAATATATCTGGCGTCTGGATGCTAATAATTGTTGAGGTTTAACGTCCCAAAACAATGCTGTAGTGAAGGGCTCCGGAAATTTTGAGCACCTGGGGTCTTTTAAAATGCATCTAAATTGAAGTCTACAAGCCTAATGCATTTCCGTCTCGATCAAAAATGCAGCCGCCGCGGCCGGGATTCGCTTCCGCGACCTTCGAGTTGAACTCGCCTAGGCATATATGTTAGTAAAACGATGTTCACGAATATTTTATTATATCCGCTTTTAATATTTAAAAAGAAGTGTCCACGCAATATACACTGAATATTCAAAAATACATTGGATATTCAGACCATTTGTGGACATCCTCTAAATATTGGTGGTTTCCTGGGATGGAGTTTTGACGAAGGGGTCGTGGCGCGACAAAAGACCAAAACTTTTGCATTGAAGTATCCCAAGTCTATCATCTTTAAAGAAAAGCATTCATGGCGTACGCAGGCAAACCCACCTTGGGCAGCCTGACAACTGATCGAGAGGGGTGTTAACAATACTACTTCTTGCTGGGTGCGGCGTATTGCGCGTGACTCGTAAATGTTCCCTGATATCAACAATACTTGCTTGACCTCTACAACGTCATGTGGGGGCCTCTGCCACGTCAAACCACAGAAGATATCAGCTGCCCCTGAGTACTCACACGCATCATTTTTTCAAAACCAAATTAAATTATCTTATAGTCAATGCTCGTCCTTAAAAATCGGTCAGGAGTGCACTCCACAAGAAGGACTTTTATACAACACAAGCATCTTGAGCTTCCGAAATTAGAGTCAGCGGTCCTTTAACATTTATTACACGTTATTTTCTTCCTATCAAGTTATTGCAGCTTCGTGCGCCTTGATGCCTGTGACAACTGTATGTAAACAGGGTGTTTGTCCAAATATAGTTACTACTAAAAAAATGTGGCATTTGCTCGCTACCATGAATGTTGCTTTTGATGTGGCAGCAGAAATATTAAAATGAGTAGTCCCATTAATTACATAAACAATGTAAAAATCACTTTTCAACACATACTCAGCTTCATTTTAAGCAATCGAGAACTTGGCTCAAGTCAGTGCCTCCAAATGACAATCCTCCTGGATGAAAATATATGCTTTATTCTTTGTTCAGATGTCTCAAAGCATCTGGCGTAGCACATAGGGCAGGATGCCTCCGTGATGGAAGTAGGCCAGCTCCACCTCCGTGTCAAAGCGTAGCAGGGCCTCCACAGAGCGGCCATCACTCAGCTGCAGGAAACAAATATTTTTTTTTAACACCAAAGTGTTTGCCGGGGTCCACCACTGACGTAGTTCCGTCACAAATATGACGTTGTAAAATGTAGTTTAACAAATTGCACAAAACAAAAATGAGAGGGAAAGGATCTGTCCCCTGGCATCGAACCAGCCACTATTTAACCAAAGCATGCGGCGCTAACCACTACACCACGGCCAAAGCGTACGCTGTCAAGGATGCTAACGGCAAGCCATTTATATACACCATATATGGCATGAATGAAGAAATGTTGAAGGAAGGCCCTCGCATAGGGAGCTGCAGAGCAAACAGTGTGGTGGAAGTCATGTGCTTTCGCAGTGGGATTGCGGCACTAGGAGGACACACCAGCATCTCATGTCGTCTGCATCACCACTCGTATGACCGCGTTGTTGATAGCTGGCTGTAGTCTGAATGTGCATTTTTATGCAGCTGTTGCACTTCACTGATAATGCAATGTATCAGAAGCCTGCAGTAACAGTTGGTCTGCACGGTTGCGAGTTTATTTTATATTGCTTGAGGTCAAGAACAGTCGTTTTCGAAGCTAATGACCACTTCTCTGAAAATGGTTGGCGCCGTAGCTCTGCTGTTTTCTCTCGGTGCTATGCTTGCGTGCCTCAGCGAAGAAAACTTATAATTCAAGATGAAAAAGGCAGTGTGTAAGATTCTTAATGCGAGAGGCGGCGGTGAATAAATCTGATGTACGACGGTTACAACTATTGGAAAGCAGCTGGTGGCCCACTGTTCTTACCGGAGCTTGCAGAATCAAGAATTAAACGTGCCTGACACGGAAGGTGATTTATTGTTTGAATTATCGCTTCATGTTAACATTTTGCAAGCGGTTACATCATCTTTGGCCAAGTTTTTTCAGATGTGGTCGCAGACGGCCGACCCGAACGCTGCTGTGAACAATACCCCTGTGCACGTATATCGTGACACACATGGCGAAGAATGGTTCGGAGGTGTTTCATCTGGCTAAATAGCAAGACAAATTAAATTATATTTCACTGTTACATTATGTTTTGTACCCCAAACTTACCTTATCTGCAGAAAAAGACAACCTGTTGAGACAATTATCTGGCAAGCTTGCTGCGTTGCTCTTTTGCATTCAGCGTTTGTTGTAGATTCAAAGTATTAGCTATAATGAGACTGCGAATGGTACACAGGCACTCTAAAAGCAGTATTGCAGCACGTTTGCTCAGAATCAGCACAAAGGTTTCGCTTTTCCAGCTCGTCTATCACATAGCAACACAGGTGCAGCCTGATGCGACCGAAATCGGCTCGCCTTCCTCTCGCTGGCGCCCGATGCACATGTGTGAGCCGCCGTAGCGTGTCCACAATTGAGAGGAGAAGTCTTCTGCTATTCCTTACTTCCGGCTTCACAAAATGTGACACAACAGTCTTTTCTCAGTTCATTCCTTTCTGCATAATATACCCATTGGCAGTCTAAGAGCTTTGCAACTTCAGCGCGTTATCATATATATTATATGTAATCAAATTCAGTGGCCTACAACTCCCGCATATTACCCCGGTAGTGTATTCTAACTACAGCATTTTTGTAATCAGTCCCCAGATGGTGCGAAGGCCTTGCATTGGGCACTCTCTCAAGGTCATCGCCTCTAGCGTTTCGATCATGGTGCCTCCACAGAGCATGCTCTCTCCTGTGTGCGCGATGCACTTCATATGCCACTTCGTAGTTGAGAAACACTGATAATATTGCCACGTGCATTTCTTATCTACACTTACGTTTCCTTCGGTTTTCGGCCACAAAGCCTGTCTGGAATGCTCAACGCAAACTGTGCCTCATTGTTCTGGAAGGTTCACGATTAGAGTAGATCGTTTCGTCAAGACTACGCCCTATTTGCAGACATCACAGATTATTCTGGAGCCTAAGTGGCCAACAGCGATAACGCTGGAATGTTCGACACCACATGTATAAATACCAACGTGCTTCACTGCTTGTCAGTAGATCGACGGCCAGGCTCCGTTCGCTGCTATCAGTGCAAATCTGCCACTGTAGTCCGACTTTTTCACCAAATAAACAGTTTGAGCTCAACATAGAGTCCTGTTTTCGGACACCTTACGAACCCGTGACATCTGGTGGAGGTTCCGCTTCTTTCATGTACCGGACGCCCTCGTCGAGCCATACACCAAGCCCACATTGCGAGGAACACACCGACGCCAGCCAGGAGCAGGGAGTTAGCCGTATGCAACAAGGCCTGTCACCAGAGTATGGGCTTTTAACCGACAACACTCCGGCAACCAAAACGTTGACGTCAACTGTGATGACAATTGCCGGAGCAGGAGTAGTGCCACTTGCACTACTCCTGCTCCGGCAATCCAAAACGCCACCAACTTTCCGTGGTTCACCACTGGAAGACCCGGAATGTTGGCTTGAAAGGTTTGACCGTGTCGCCATCTTCAATGAATGGACTGACGATGACAAGCTCTGGCATGGCTATTTTGCCTTCGAAGTGCCGCTCGGACCTGGTTTGAGAATCAAGAGCGAAGCCTCACTACATGGGACGTCTTTCACACCAGGTTTCTCACCACTTTTGCGAGTATGGTCCGCAACGAGAAGGCTGCAGCTCGCCTCCAAACCCATCTGCAGATGCGAAATGAAAACATGGCGCTATTCACGGAAGATATCATTAAACTCTTCCGCCACGCTGACCCTGACATGACCGAGAAGAAGGTCGGCCTGCTCATGCGAGGAGTCAAGCAAGAACTGTTCGCCGGGCTGATCAGGAACCCGTCAAAGATGGTCACCGAAATAATTTCGAAAGCATCTACTATCAAGAAGATGCTCGAGATGCGGACACGACAATACAACCGTAGCTTTTCATCTACAAGCTACGCCGACATCTAAGCACTAGGAAAAGCCAACCTGCGTGAGAAGATCCGAGCGATCGTGCAAGAAGAGCTGCGAAAATTGCTTCTTTCAGCGCAGCGTCATGTAGACTTCATCACGAATGTCGTACGCCAGGCGATACAGCAACAGCTGGGCGTTCTTCAACCTCCTCAGCCGCAGCTGCAAGTTATGAGCTATGGTGCTGCAGCCTGCCGTTACGCTCCTCCTCTACAGTCATGCCAAGACCACGTCCCATCGCACTTCCTTCGCCAGACGCCACATCACCACCAACGCTCTACCGTTGACCTGCTGGACAGTGCAGCGCGCCGAGGAAAAATGTCTGGCATGCATCTGACAGCCGCCCGGTCTGCCATCACTGCGAAGAATCCGGGCACACCTACCGCCGCTGCCAGTACCGCCAAACAGGACTGCATGATTTCACCATCGATGCGTCGTGTCCACAACGAGGTGAACGACCGCGTGACAACGCCGACGACTTCGAAGGAGCGCAGTCGACACCCCGACGACCTTACCGTTACCCATTGCCAGGCAGCTACATGTCACTGCAATGCCGACAGTACACCGGCCCTACTCGGGGCCGTTCCCCAAGCCCACACTCAAAAAACTAAGGACAGCAACTGATGGAGGTGCGGTTGCTTTATGACGAACTACAGAATATCCTTCTGCCGCCGCCAACGGTGCGACGAAACTTCAAGAACCTGTCGTCATCTCAGCGTAGTCCCGACGTAGAAACTTCACGCTGAGAAGAAGTCTTGATGATGCAACGTCGAAACAGCAGTAGAAACCATTGTAGTCGTAATCGGACGGCGCGACCAAACTGCAACGCACAACGACAAACCAGCGACCTCGATGTACTATTCGACAGTCACCACGTCACTGTTCTCGTCGACACTGGCGCCGTATTCCATCGTCAGTGGGCCTTTCACGACCAAGCTGAAGAAAGTGAAGACAGCTAGAGGTAATTTAATAACGCTGGCTGGAGTCTGCACAGGAAAAGTCACCATCAACAACCGCACTTATTCAGCGAGCTTTGTAATACAACATTGCTCCAGGAATGTGATACTGGGGATGGACTTCATAATCAATACGGCGCTGTCATCAACCTGAGGTCGGGGTCAATACACTAACGTCCGAAAACGCGCTGCCTACCCCCACAGCACCAAGGAATCCCGCATTGAATGTGCTGGAAGACGAAGTCATCATTCTGCCTGGCTCAAGCATCATCACTTCAGTCGGCCCCGAAGGACTCACAGACTTTGAAGGCGTCATCGAGAGCAACAAGCACTTGTTCCTTAGCCGTCACATTTGTGTAGCAAGAGGCATCGTCGAGCTGAGTAATGGGAAAGCGAGATGATGGTGACGAACTTCAGCCAAGAATACAGGCACCTCAACATCGGTACGGCGATCCTTTACATAAAAGAAGTTGTCGGCGCCAGCAATTCTTTGCCCTCTCTGACGCTTCCGAACCTGCCTCGATGTGTCGACGTTCCCAACCCGAGTTTGACGTCAATCCGAGCTTTTCGATGCATAAGCAAGAACAGCTCAAGGCCCTGCTCTTGAAATACAAGGACTGCTTTTCGTCGTCATCGAAAATTCGACATACTTTAATCGCGAAACATCGCATCATAACAGATTGAAGTGCCAGACCACTACGACAGAGCCCCTACAGAGTTCTGACGCGAGAACGCGAGGCCGTAAAAAGACAAGTCAACGAAATGCTATGCGACGACATACCCCGGCCGTCCCCCGTGGTGCTGGTGAAGAAGAAGGACAGAACCCTGCGTTTCTGGGTCGACTATCATTGCCTAAACAAAGTTATGAAAAAGGACGTGTATCCTCTCCTATGGATAGACGACACCTTGGATCGAACTCCACAATGCTAAGTAGGTACTTTTCGTCGATGGGCCTCAAGACTGGCTATAGGCAAATCGAAGTCGATGAGAAAGACCTATAAAAAGATTGCACTTGAAACGCCAGATGGCCTCTTCCGAGTTCAAGATCATGCCCTTCGGTCTTTGCTCGGCACCTGCAACTTTTCAACCCGTTATGGAGACAGCGCTAGCAGGATTGAAGTGGCAGACTTGCTTGGTTTCTTGGACGATGCTG